GAAAAGCAGAAACAGTGACAGATTTTATTTTCTTGGGCTCCAAAATCACTGTGGACAGTAACTGCAGCCATGAAATTAAAAGATGCTTGCTCCTTGGAAGGAAAGCTATGACAAAAAAAAAAAAAGCAGAGACATCACTTTGCCTACCAAGGTATGTCTGGTCAAAGCTATGGTTTTTCCAGTAGTCATGTAAAGATGTGAGAGTTGGATCACAAAGAAGGCTGAGTGCCAAGAATTGATGCTTTCAAACTGTGGTGTTGGAGAAGACTCTTGAGAGTCCCTTGGAAAGCAAAGAGATCAAACCAGTCAATCCTAAAAGAAATCAAGCCTGAATATTCATTGGAAAGATTAATTTTGAAGCAGAAGCTCCAATGTTTTCACCTGATGTGGAGAGCCAACTCACTGGAAAAAGACCCTGATGCTGGGAAAGATTGAAAGCAAAAGGATAAGCGAGTGTCAGAGGATGAGATGGCTAGCTAGCATCACCCACTCAATGGTCATGAATTTTAGCAAACTCTGGGAGACAGTGGAGGGCAGAGGCGCCTGGGGTGCTGCAGTCCATGGGGTCGCACAACTCAGCAGCTGAAAAACAGCCGCCACTTCTGGGCAGGGTAGAAACACAACAGGATTTGACTTCCTTAAAGGCAAGGGCACCTGTTCTCCTTTAGAGCCCGATTGCACGGCTCTGCCCTGCGGGCTCCACAAAGGCGTCTCCTGGAGCTCAGGCCCCCAACCTGGGTGTGGGATCACCGGCCCTGCCCTGGGCTTCTCCAGAGGGTCACCGCCAGATGTGACGGCATCCAAGGTCTCTGGACATTCTTGCCATCTCTTCAGGCTCTCGCGGTTAGGAGGGTGGGGGTCTGGATAACTGCCTCAATGCTGCGAGGTCAGGAGCCCAGATCTTGAATTTAGGGAGCTGACAAGCAGGGTGAACAGCCACAGTGGGCCATCAGTTCCCGGCTGCTCCTTCAGCATGGTAACAGAAAGTCCCCGGGCGCCGGACAAGGCCATCAGCCACTGCCTCCCACCTTATCAGCCATGCCCCAAATACTCCTCCTCCTTCTCCAGCTCCTTCCTTCCTCCACCTCCCTTCCTTTCTCAATAAGCTGTTTTTAGAAAGAGAGCTTAATGGAATTTCTCGCTGTTTCTCCCGGTGCGGATGGAACGGTGTGAATCGCACACAGCAGCACATGGAAATCGAAAGGGAACGATTCCCTTTGCCGACGCACACTGTCTGCTGCAGATGGTATCGTGTTCACTCAACACTTTTCATTCCCTCCCTTTCACAGCACGGAAGCACTCACTCCGTGAGCAACCCAGGGAGTAGGCAGGCCTCTTTCAACCTAGAGGAGGGAGGCAGGGTGCATTTTAGTGGGTTGGTGTCTCCAAGTCTCCCCGCTACACCCCCCGCAAGTCTACGGGGTGAGTGAAGAAATCAGGAAACTTTGGCATCTGTCTGCACTCCTCAACTCACAAAAGCTAAACAATTTTTCCTTTAAAAAGGAAGAAAGAGATCTGAGCTCTCTCAAGAGTAAGTCTAACCCATTGTCTGTCGTATTGCTCACTGCAGTTCCAGAGCTGGGGGGCGGGGCAGTGGCAAACTAGTTCCATATTGAAAATCAACAGAAACAGGCATGAGCAGTCTGCGCGGCTCTTTCTTTCCCTTGCAAAGCGCCGACTTCCCAGCTGTGATCAGAGATGCAGGCTCGGGCTGGGCTTCCTCCGCGGACTCTGCAGGAGGCAGGCTGGGTGCCCTGCCGAGGACACACGCTGAGAGCCGCTGGCCGCCTGGGCCAAGCGGGCTTTGGTTTGTGCAAGGCTGCCATCGTGTGGCCGCTGCGGGTATTTCCCTGGGAAAACGGCCCACGCTCCCCAAGTCTAGGATCGCTGTTTTCTGCCACCAGTCAGAGGGCTCAAGATGAATAAGACGAAAATCAAGTTCTAAGTTTCCTGTCCAGGTCTGAATCTCCTTCAGAGTATCTCATGGGCCCTTCCACAGAACTCAACTACAGGCATGCCGAAAGTCCAAGGAAGGACTTTCTTATCAGGACAGATGGAAGGTCCAAGAGGTAAAGCATCCATAAGACTGGCCTGGTCTTGCGGAGTCATCTTCCAAGATGCCCTCAGTCTCAAAGATGGAAACAGCCCTGTGAGTCCCTGGAACCCACTCTGTGTAGGAACCAGGCCAGCACAGAACAAGTGCGCAGTTAAAAGTGGTTTAGTGTTTCACAGACATCTTCTCCAGGCGGAACTTTCAGCTTGCTGCCAAGCCCTAACTAAACAAGCCTGAGACTGACCACCTGCAGATACCCAGGGCTGGAGGGCTAAGGGCGCTGTTAGTCTGCACAGGTTTTCTCAACCTAGGATGATATTTCAAGCCTCATAATTCCTGGGGCTCTACGGGCTGTCCTCACGTTGCAGCTTACCTGGTTTCCACCTGCTAGCAGCCCTCCTCACCCCATGGTGACAACCAGAAATGCCTCCAGATGGGGCCAACTGTCCCCCGGAGTCAAACTGGCATCAGCTGAGAACCACCGTCGAGGGTCTGCTAGGGTCTTGTTGCTGCTGTTAACAATTACCACACATTTGGTGTCCCCAAGCTGCATGGGCTGATTATCACGCAGTCCCAGTGGTCAGAAGTCCAATAGGTCTCCTTGGGCTAAAATCAAGGTATCAGCAGGGCTGTGTCCCATCTCCAGGCTCTAAGGGAGAATCCATATCCTTGCTTCTCCCAGACCCTAGCAGCCGCCTGCATTCCTTGGCTCGTGGTCCCTCCAAATTAAAACCCTGCGGGGTCGGTGGAGTCTTTCTCACACTACATACGTGTCCGACGTTGTCTTTTGTTGTCAGATCTGCCTCTGTCTCCCTCTTGAAGGACCATGTGATGACAGTGGGCCCATCTGGATAACCCATGACCATCTCCCTCTTTGAGATCACTAACCACATCTGCAAAGCCCCTTTTATCACCTAAGGGAACATAGCCACGGGGTCTGAGGAGCCTGACCTGGGCATTGGGGCGAGCAGCGGGGGGGGTGGTTACTCAACCTGCACAAGTGAATACAAATGTAGTTGGCTCCAGCAGAGCTGAGAGCACAGGGGTGCTCTCAGCAACACAGCCAGGGGTGACGGGCCACGGCCTCGCTGAGGAGAGCAGCGCCCGCGTCCCGAGGCCCTGGGCGACCAAACAAGTCTCACCTGCAAACAGAGCTGCTGGTTCACAGACCCTGACTCACCCCGCGACTTTCCCAGTGAGGACCCTCTGATCCCAGAAGGGACGTGGCCATCCCGGAACCCCCGGGAGGGAGGGGGAACAGCGCCATGCCCCCCCCCGCCCTGTGCCACAAATCCTGGGTACCAGCCACCCCCCGAGGGAAGCCATTTCTAACAGTGGGACTTCAAGCTGCGTGTCAGGCCTGGGAGAGAGAAACGGCCCCACGGCCGTCTACAGCCCTGCCCCATACGAGGCTCAGAAATGACAGACATCAGCCTGGAGCCCGCCCTGCCTGAGGAGGGACCGTAGGTCTCGCTGGGGAGACGAGACCTGAGCTCGGCTCTGTGCTGGGGACAAGGATACAAGGTCTCAGTGAAGGAAACCAAAAAGGAATGTCTGCTTAGTTGGCTCTTAAGTCCAAAAATAAAAAAAGGTTCAGTTAGGTAGGGACAGGAAGAGGCTGATAGAAAGTCTCTAATAGATTTGGTGGCTCCAGAGTAGAAAGGGGGGCTTCCTCGATGGCTCAGCGGATAAAGAATCTGCCTGCAATGCAGGAGACAAAGGAAACATGGGTTTGACCCCTGGGTCAGGAAGATCCCCTGGAGGAGGAAATGTCAACCCACTCCAGGATTCTTACCTGGAGAGTCCCATGGACAGAGTCCCGAAGAGTCGGACATAACTGAGCGACTGAAGAGAAACAGAGAGGGTAGGACGGAGGTGTGCCCCACCCCAGCCGGGAGCTCCCAGAGGGCCCCCGTGAGCGCCAGACCGCAGGAGAGAGCCAGCCACCCTGGGGCACCAGGGCCCGCCCCTCATAAAGCCACCTTGCTTGGGTGGAAGCAAACGATCCCCCTGCGGCCAGAGCAGTGAGGATGCAGCGCTGCCTCCTTGTGGGACCAGGGGAAGCGTCAGTGGACGGCAGCAGGAGTCTAGGTGGATGGGAGCTCCAGAGAGCTGTGCTGCCCCCCGGGTGGCTGCCTGAGCCAGAGACCCGGAGAGGCGTGCCTGTGAGCGGGCACCAGGGTGGGCGGCACAGACCCAGGTCCAGGGCCCGAGTCTCCTCCTTACTGAAGCCCCTGTCTGCTCTGGACAAGATCCTGGGAGGAAAACGGCACAGAGGAAAGTCCTTTTAACATCTTTTAATGTAGCTTACATGGATTTAGTTTATATGGCTTTCATACTTATTTTATACACACAGCATGTGTAGTTGGTTATGTGTGTGTGTGCGCGCACGCTCACTCAGTCCTGTTTGAAATAAAGTTTCTGTACTATTGTACTCTCTACACTTGTCGTTAAGTCACTAAGTCGTATCCGACTCTCTGCGACCCTGTGGACTGCAGACCACCAGGATCCTCTGTCCGTGGGACTTTCCAGGTAAGAACACTGGAGGGGGTTGCCATCACTTCCTTCTCCAGGGGATCTTCCTGATGGAGGGATCGAACCTGCAGCTCCTGCCTCGGCAGGTGGATTCTTTCATTCTGGGCCACCTGGGAAGCCCATATATAACCCTGTAAGCCCCCTGCATATGAATGGGTTCCATTCCAATAGCGTGTTCCCAAGTCCAGTTTGTTCCTAAGTCCCACACGGTTAGCCTAGGTACCCAGCTAACAAAATCAACTATAGAGTTCTGTACTGCAATAGCTTTATAACACTTTTCACACAGATAATACCAAAAAAAACAAAGAAAACATTTTTAATCTCACAGTACAGGACCTATAAAACTACAGGAGTCAGTACAGCAGCTGGCACACGGCGGGCATCCAGTGAACAGGCCGGCAGGGTTACTGACGGAGCAGGCGGGGGAGACAGGAGGCGGGAGAGCTGCAGGGCCGTCAGCAGCAGGAGACGGAGGCCCAGCTGAGCGTCACTCGTGCCCGTGCTGATGGTGCGGGTCCTGGCTCCTGGCTGGATCCGATTCCACACACCCTGTTGAATAAACAATCCAGGGGTGTCTGGGCAGCGGCTCTTCTCTCCTCATCAGAGATGATGCGGGAGCCCTGGCCTGCGTGCTGAGTGCTGCCGCAGCCTCCACGGAGCGGTCCACATCTGGGTCCTGCGCCTCAAAGCTAACAGTGCCTCCTCCAACGAAGATAGTCCCCTGTCGTCTGCTCGTCTCTGAGGTTTCTGGGTTGCTTCTCCTTGCTCTTGTCTCTGCCCCTCCTCTGGGCCTCCGACTCCATCAGGTCTTCGTTAGCAGGCACCTCGTGCTGCCCGGCAGGCTCCGGGGCTGTCGCGGGGCACTTCTTAGTGGTACCAGCTATGACCCTGCCGCTCTCCCGCTTGCTTCCTGATGTCCTGGGTTTGCAGTAAAGATGCTGTGGTCTACACAGTGCTGTGCGGGAAGGGACACAGCACAGCCAGGGGGAGAAACGCGTGTCCGTGGGAATGGACAGCAGACACGTGAACGAGCGTGCATGATTGGGCCTGTGAACACACGCTCACTGCTTTGAAAGTTCACCACTTGACGGTTTGTAAGGAGGGGACTTAGTGTTTACACACACACACATATCTATATGTATATATTTATAGATATGTCTGTCTATATATACATATACATATATATATATATGATCATGTTGATTTTAACTGCTTCTCTTGGTCATTAGTGAACCCAGCAAACATTCCCCAAATCAAAGCCCCCTGATCTGCAAGTGGAGAGCAGAGAAGGAATGAGGATCAACCGAGCCAACACCCTCAACTCGAGCGACCCCAGGGCAAATCTTCCAGAGTGCCCGGCCCCACAGGATGTGAACAGACCCGGAGCACTCAAGGACACCCCAGGACCCAAGGTTCCATCTGCTCAGTGTCTGCCCTCCACAGCACCCGAGAGCAGCCTCAGGCTGTGGACAACCAAGGCCAAGAGCGCCCTCAAGCTTTGCAGCCTGCCCCACGCTGTCAAGAGCCGGTTAGGGAAACCAGAAGGGAAGTAGTCTTATTCGGGCTTCAGAGACAAGAGAGGCCTCTGACCTGCCCGGACACGGCTCTGACTTCATGCCTGCTCACAACAAATGCACCAGTTGACCCCAGTAAGCGGAGAGGCACTATCGCTAAGAAAGAGAGTGAGACTTGGAATTCTCCTGAGCCCTGAGGTTCTGGCCAATCCCCCAACCGTCTGGAAAATCTCATCACTCACAAGCATTGTTTTAAAAAAAGGTTAAAGTGGAACAAGAGCTGCAATTTTGCTCACAAACTGAAGATGATGTCAGTTTGTGGCCTGGGATTATAAGCAGGAACCCCTAAAACTGCAATGTGAAGTCTCGCCCCTGGCGTGGACACTCTGCCTAGGACCTTCTCCCAATAGGGACTCCAGACTGCTGTTACAGGAGACTTCCAGTGCTGTCGGAATCTTGATGCTAGTCAGCCCAACTCAGAGACGTATGTGCTATTACTCTCCTCCACTATTTCTACCTCTCTTTTCTATTAATGATGGTATAGTGAAGGTAACTTAGATAATTCTCTATTAAATACTGGAGTCGCTTATTTGTGCGTAACGAGTAGTTCCTTTTGTTAACGACCCCCTCGAACCTGAAACAAAAGTAAAAACTCCCAGCAAGACAGGGTACCTGGTGCAGAGATTGCCTTTTAGCAAGTCTGAAGGTGACTTTTGCGTGGTAGAAAGGAGGGCTTGGTAAGATAAGTCAGTATGTTTTAACACAGGCTCATGGCAGCCTTTCCACTGCTGTGGCTGTTTACAGGGTTTCTCTGACAGGAAACTACTCTTTCTGACTGTGTCTCACTTGATGCTGACAGCGACAGAGACCCCGCTCCTCGCTGTCTGGCTGGGCACCGGGCCTGCGGGCCTCACGTGACCGTGTCCACGTGTCCTGGCTCCCCTTCCCCGGCATGGCCTCGGCGATGTTCTGTGCCCTGTGAGGGACCGACAGAGGCTTCTCAACGTGCAAACTCAGCCCCTCCCCCCAGAACTTCTGGCTGCTGACCATTTTCTCCTCAGAAAGAGAACTAAACCAAAATCAGAAATTTTACCTTCCTTCTCACAGAAAATAGGGATTCTAAAAACCATCTCACAAGGCGTTGGCCTCCCACCCAGCCCGCTGGATTCATTCATCCTTCATCCCAAAGAGCTTGTTCCCAAAGACCCTCTGGGACAAGATGCCCAATGCCGAGGTGGCCTAGAACTGACACTCCAGCTGAGGTCCAGTGTGGAGCAGGGCATCACCACCGCCGCTGGACCCTGCCCCCCGAGGTGAGCTTTCGCAGGACCCGGGTCCCCAACACGCTCCACACCCCTTGCATCTGGTCTTCTCGCTGAGTGTGCTGCTGAGGCTCATCCGTGCTGTAGTGTGCATTAGCACTTCACCCATTTTTATAGCTGAAGAATATTCCATCACATGGATATACCACATCTTATCTATCCCCCTACCAAGTGATGGATTTTTAAATTGATTTCCAATTCTTATTATTATCAGAAATGCTGCTATGAACATGTGTGTACAAGTTTTGTGTGGACAGCAGCCTTCAGCTCCCTTGGGTGTATACAAGAGTGGGATTTCTGGATCTCACGGTGCGGGTCTGGGATCTAAGGACAGCTTTCTTCCAAGTAATGGCTCCTCTGTGGATTTTTCTATATTCCTTGTAGAGTCAAATAACTTTCTCCACAATAACTGCCATTAGACGGGAATAAAAGGACACATGTTTATAAAACACAACCATTATTACTGCAACACCAAAAGTAACCCAAGGAAAACCAGACAAACTGGACTTCATCAAAATTCAACATGCTGCGCTTCAAATGACATCACCAAGAAAGTGAAAAGACAGCCACGGAACAGGCAAAAATATTTGCCAATGATGCCTGTGATAAGACACTTGTATTCAGACTTACATTCTTCAGCTATAAAAGGAAATGAAGTAATACACACTACAACATGAGTGAACCTTAAAAAATTATGCTTAAATAAAAGGTGCAAATGATCACACATTGTGTGAACCCACGTGTACGGCGTGTCCACAACTGGCAACTCCACAGCGAGAGGGTAGATTCACGGCTGCCTTGGGCTGGGTCGGGGTGGGAAGGGAGAGGCTGCTCACAGGCACAGGGCTCATCCTTGGGGAACTGACCGCGGTGACAGATGCGCACTCTGTAAACATACTGAAATGTGGCGGTATATGCTTTAAGTGAAATGAAGTCTACGGACTGTAAATTATATCTCAATGAGCTGTTAAATAAGAACATGCAAGAACATGGAGAACTGAATAATACATTTTAAAAGGTGGTTTAATCCAACAACACCCCACACACGCCGCCTCACTGATGCTCGTGCCCCCAGCCCCGCACCAGCAGGGCCGGGCACAGCCGGGAGCGGCTGCTCTGAGCCCGTCACGTGTCCCTCCCACGCGGTTCATGTGTTCGTCCTCAAATGAATTACATCAACAGATGGGTTTTTCTTCCTTGGGAGGATTCCTTTATTGAGTAGTGACTTTATCAAACCCCTGAGCCACCCTGATCAGTTCATCTCCACCTAAACACAAAGCGCCAATGACTGACCTCAAACAGTGCAATGTTCGCAGTTCACATCGTCACGTGTGGGAGGTCCCATCCTCCGTCACTCACAGCAGCCCTCGGCTGCACACCCGAGACCCCCGGACGGCTGTGCCTCCTCCCAGGGAGCCCACGTGCCCTGGGGGCGGCTTCTGGCACCTCCGCACGGAGCCCTTGGCGCTGTTTCTGCTCAGCTGGCCTCCTCACTCTTCCCAACGGTATAAGAGAGACACACGCATTGGAGATTCCAGGAAGGACGCGTTCAGAGAATGGTTTCTGTGAGTCCAGGGACCATAGCTCACTTCTCTGTAACATGCAGGGTTGGCCCTGAGCACGCACACTGAATTTGTGTTGTACAACAGGACGGACGGACCACGGGTGGATGGATGGACAGACGTGAAGAGATGGCGGGTGGACAGACAGGAGGGCAGCTGGGTCAATGGGCGGGTGAGCAGACGAGTGGAGAAACGGAGGGAGAGAGCAGGAGGGCCACGGAGACAGATGGGAGGGTGCAGGGATGAACAGACGACAGATAGACAGTGAGTTAGTAGTAAGTACCACGTCCCACCCCACGCGCCCTCGGATCGCTCGGGAGCAGTAGGTCGGCATCTCGCCAGCACTGGGCACCAGGGGTCTCCTTCCCAACCTCAGGCTCCAGGATGGGCTTCCCTGTGTCCCTAAAAAGCTGAAACTGTCCTTCCGCCCACCTCTTGAGGGTCCAGCAACAGAGGAACAGAAGGAAGGTGTCACCCCTCCCTCCCGAGGAGAGCTGTTACCATCCACTCCCGACCCCCACCCCAGTTACTGAGGGCCAGCTCTGCCCTGATACTGGGGACAGGAGAGACAACTCACCCCACCCCGAGCTGACCCCAGTGGAGGCTCAGGGAGGCCCAGCAGAGACCAGGGCATGGAGGCCACATGGGAAGGGTGGAGGCAATGGTTGGGGGGATGCCTGAGCTGAGAGCAGACGTGTAAGCAGGAGGGAGCCTGACTGATGTGCACACGTGCGTGCATGTGTGTGTGTGTATGCGAGAAGGAGGGAGCCTGACTGATCTGCCTGACTGATGTGTGTGTGTGTGCGCACGTGTGTGTGCACGAGGGAGTGGTGAGAGACGGGAGGCATAGACCCTCGGCAGACCCTAAGTAAGACCCTTCTGTGCCTGAAGATGGGAGGCCCTGGAGACAGAAGGCGGGGCGGGGAGCGCAGAGGGGGACGCAGGTCGGGGGGCTTCTGTGATGGCCCTGGGCGCTGCAAAGACAGTGTTAAGCCAAGGGAGTGGGGGTCACCGGTGATACGGTCAGATGGACACTCCCCAAGAAGTCAGGGCAGCACTCAGCTCACCCACCCCAAGAGAGCTGACTGGCCTGCCCTGGGAAGAATGCTAGTGACCCTAGGTGAGGCCAGGCCAGCGCGTGCAAAGTCCACCCCAACTCCAGGAGGCGGGTTCTGGGGCCTCGTGGGGCTGGTGGACTGCGCCTCACCCTGTGAACCGCCAGCAGCATGGCCAGGGCGAGCCTCGCCTGTCCCCCCTGGGGTCCAGGGGCGGGGACCCCGACTGTGCCTGGGAACTGCCTGGAGCAGCGCTGGGCAGGTATGCAGAGAGGGGAGACCGCTGTCCCAAGCACTTGCCCCAAACAGTGCTTCAGGATTAACTGCAGTGCTTCTCAGACGTCCCGCCACCTGAACCCCCACCTCAAGCCTGGGGTAGGGCGGTCCGTGTGGTCGTCTGTCCCTCAAAAGACAGCACAGCAGGACAGGGGCCAGTGCCTGTGACAGGAGCGTGGAGGGCCGGCAGCGCTCCAAGCCTGAGGGCAGGCCGGCCTCCTGGGGTCAGCTCAGCCTGCGGGGGTGAGCTCAGCCTGCGGGGGTCAGCTCGGCCTGCGGGGGTCAGGGGCGGGGCCGGCCTCCCCGGGGTCAGCTCGGCCTGTGGGGGTCAGGGGTGGAGCTGCAGGCCCGCCCCCCAGGGGGCAGCCGGCGTCCGCCGCCATCCTCTTGGTCTTCCACCTCTCCTGTCCCACCCTGCAGGCTCGCCCAAGCCACCCTGCTGCCGCCTTCTCTGCGCGGTCTCCATCCGTCTGCTCCCGGTCTTCTCCGCTGATCCTCTCCTAAAACCGGAAGAGAAGCAACAGAGCATCTCAGTGAACGCTGAAGGCCTCTTGGGGTCCTGGCCTGGCCGCACCCCACACTGTGAGCTCAGAGCAGGCAAGCCAGGTTCAAACGCCAGGCCAGCCATAGCGTGGGCGTCATAAGTTTTGTACCTAAGATGCTCTGTGTGCAGATTTACTGATGGGAATATATTTACTGGGGAGGGGGTGTGAAGTTCCGGCGGGGGGGATCAAAGAAAGAGGAGGCTAAGGAAACTCTACTTCAAAAGTTGGAAAATGCAGATGCCCCCAGACATGCACGCCCATGGGCATCAGGGCACCCTGAACACCTCCTGCTTCCTCTAACGGCCTTCAGGGTTGCAAAGGAGAGGCAAGGTCAGCGAAGAAGCACAGCTCAGTAGCCTGAGAGTGTCCTAAATCAGCCCATCGTTCCACTGCAACTCGAGGAACATGAAGGCCCTTCTCGGCCAGAGGGCGAGAATTGATGTCAGACACCAGGCAGCTTTTCCAAGACAATCCAGCACTTTCTGGGATATTTTCGGCCTTTGATGTTGAGTCTTCTATCCCAGAACCACCTACTTTCCAAGATAAGCAGCACTCCCCACAACGGGCAATTGTCAGGTTTGGAATTTAACATTGTTATCACCTCTCCAGGAATTCAAGAGCAGAGGCCCTTCTATGCCAGCGAATGGATGTCAGTGCCATCCTCTTCTGGGCACAAGTGTCTGGCGTGGCCTCAGGCAAATGCTCGCGGAATCATATCTCACCAAAATCCTACAAAATGCTGAGTGACAGCAGGCCCGAGAACTACCCAGTAGCCCAGCCTTGCCCACGGTTCTGTCTGCCATCACTCTGGGCCAGCTCATAACCTAAGGCCCGATTCCATTTTCTAGCATCTGGACTCAGCAGTGAAGAATCCGCCTGCAATGTAGGAGACGCAGGAGATGAGGGGTCGATCCCTGGGTCGGGAAGATCCCCTGGAGGAGGAAATGGCAACCCACTCTGGTATTCTTGCCTGGAGAATCCCATGGACAGAGGAGCCTGGCGGGCTGCAGTCCACGGGGTCACAAAGAGTCGGACACGATGGAAGGGACCAAGCAGGAGCATGTGGACTGGAGGGGCAGAGGAGGAAAGAAAAACATGTTCATCCACGCATTTGTTCTGCCTGAAAGACACTGGTCTGTCGCAGAATTTGAAATTCAGATTTTTCCATACTTCCTTAACATAAAGTTATGGCCGATTCCCACATGTTCTCTGCTTAGTCTTGGCTTCATTGGAGCTGGTCAAGCTTAGAGAAGAGGGCCACGAAAAGTCTGATTGCAATGGTGTTTCCATCCACCACAGCTCAGAGATTCTGAGCATAAATCAAGGGCCCGCTGCCGCAGAGGAGCCCAGAGGAGGTCTTCAGGAGGCTGCTGGAGCATGGCCCGAGGACCAGCCCTAGAATGACACAGGTTTGTCACCATACCTGTGGTCCCCCCCGTGATGGGAGAGCCTGGGTCCATCATCCTGAGAGCCCACGAGTAGCCACAGCCTCCTTGGAATGTCCTGGGTGAGCTGCCCTCCCCAAGCAAGAGAGTGAGGTGAGCAAATGGAGTGACTCGCAAGGGAGCAGACAGACAAATGATTACGAATAGAAGGGGGGCCCTGTATGATAACGTAAGGCATGGCTCCCCACAACCCAGTTCTGTCCTGTTTGACCTTCACCCTGACATCTGCTACGTGCCTTCCTAGGACAGGAAAACCTGCCAGGTTGTTGGGAGGGCACCTCTATTCAAGCATTTCTGAGCTGGAATTTTGATCCATCCCCCCAGCTTTTCAGGCATTACTTGGAGTCAGATTTCCCATTCTATTCCTCAGCCCTCCCGTTTGCGCACTGGAATTCTTACTCACAAGAGAAACCAGAGTCACACACACTAACTCAGCCTCCCTCTGCGTCCTACCAAACCGGCATCAACTTGGAAGGGGGTGACTTTCTTATCTTACTGCGTAACCTCCCCACACCTCAAAATCCATATGTGAAGGTGTGGTGGGGGGTTCCGATACCTTAGGAAGAGAACAGGCAGTTTTCTATTTGAGCTGAAAAGACAAATTGCATTTTTCAAATAAAGAATACATGTACTACATTTTGCCTATATAAATAAATGTGTACAGTTTCATTTCCAGACATCATAAATGGGCAAAATTTGGTTTGGCAAAATTTAATTATAAGCATTTAAAAACACCAGTCCTCGTTAGCTCTCTCTGATATGTAAAGATTTTATACAACACAGTACTAGTTGCCCATGTACCTTCCTTCACAAAAACCAGCCTTGTTCACTACTGTCTCCTGATCACCTGGACAATAAGAACTGCTGAGAAATGCTCCATTAACAGTGCTCAGCTGAATGAGGGAATGAAGTAGATATTTCATTTTACACTTTCTTCCTTTCCTGATGTGTGAACCTTTGTTTTCATGTGTTATGGACGTGTGCGTGTGTGCTAAGTCGCTTCAGTCGTGTCTGACTCTTTGCAACCCCATGAACTGTAGCCCACAGGCTCCTCTGTCCATGGGATTCTCCAGGCAAGAATAATGCAGTAGGTTGCCATTTCCTTCTCCAGTGTTATGGCTGAAAGTATGCCAGTAGGTATCAAACTTTCGCTTGCATTTTATTCCTAGGCAATGAAGGTGCAATACTTCTTTTTTTTTTTTTTTTTTAATGAACGCACTAATCGGGACCCACAAGGATGAGAAACGGCAAAGCAGCCACACAGGGCAAAGGCAGAAACTAACCATTACCACCTTGGGCTGCAGATGATAACAGTGGCCACTAGAAGGAGCCACACAACCTTTCAAAGAGCAGCGACAGCTCAAAATGCCCTCCTGATGTGATGGTTCTGCCCTTTGCTCCTCTCAGCATAGCTCTCCCCCATAAACATGCTCCATGTAATGTCCAACGCCCCAGAGCAAGCTGGAACAAGTTACAGCTGCAGTCTGCAAAGCATCAGGCTTTTAGAAAAATGACCCCACCTCCTCAGCGCAAATATTTCGCATCTCTTAATGTCCATTCCCTCCAGCTTAAAAATTACATGTAAATACAAAAAAAAAAAATTTTCCCCCCTGAGGATGACAATTGAATCTACTAAAAATTCACCTGGAAAAAGAAAGCAAATATATAACCTAAAAATGAAAAACAAATTTTTTTTAATCTGTGTGCAATTACTTCCTGCGTCCAGCAACTTTTTTTCTTTAAAAAAAACCAAACAAATCAACTGTTCGTGTAGGTTAGTTTCTTCTCCTCCAGGAAAGAAACTTAGGCATGTGCAGGCTTTCAGGGAAGTCACATAAGACAGAATTCTGATCCTATTGGTCAAGTTTCAAAGGTTTCATCTGTAACTGAGTGAAGGAAGAAAAAGTTTCCCACAAACTCCTTCTCTCAAAAGATCCAAATAACCCTGAAAATAGTTTAAGGGCCTTTATAAGCCACGGATGTTATCAACAGTCAGGACCATGCAAACTCTAAAAGCCCCAATTCACAAATGACACAGCTTCAAAAATAGATTTTAAAACATCTGAAAGGAGCAGAAGTTAATTTCCCGCTGGGATGTTGTGGAATGTTGTAAAAATGTCTACGCCTTACTTAGAATGTAAAAAGCCATGGCCCCACCGGGCTTCTTGCTGAAGTTCTATTCCTATGGTCCATGAAACTGTGGGAGACCTCCTAAATATTAGTCAGGAATGAAGGGACAAAAGATAGAACTTGAAAAACAGAACAAATCAAGAAAGTGACCCTAAGAATAATTAAAAACTAAAAATAAATGGTCTCATGAGATTTCCAGGGAGGAGAAGCTTCCAGTACCTGCACTGTTTGGTGATGGTTGGGAAACCCCAGTGGGCTAACATGCGCTGATTTCTGGAAGGAGAGAAACAGACTAAAAATTGAGGAACTGCAAGCATCTGGGCTAATCTGTGACTGCGTCTGTGGCTTCCACTCGGAAAAAACCTGAGTGTCAGCGCTAACTGACAAAATTGTTACAAAATGAAGCTGGTTGGCAGAAAACTTTCATGAGCGAATTAAAATCCTGACTGCCAGCCCTGGGGGATTGACAGGAGGTGTGGGTGAAACTGGGAACTAACCATAATTTACACAGGGAGTGAAAAGACCCTAATTTAGAGTTTTCAAAACCTTACAGCTTCAGTAATCTAATTAGAGCCCTAATTATAATAATGACCCTTCTTCCTTCAAGGGACTCCAGCATGTTTCTAGAACCTTCTCTGTGAAAGTTCATTTGCTGATTTAAGGAGAAAGTTGGTGCATCTCGGAGTGAGTTACAGCGACAGGGCTGGCATCGGAATCCTAGCTTGCTTCCCCTGACCAGATGACACCAGCTTCCTCAGCTCTTGAAATAACCCCCAGGGGAATTCTCCTGAACGGAAACCATCTCCCCAATTATGCGACAATGTCCTTCCCTGCCAACCCCCTCCAGCCCATGCTATTTCCACATTCTGAAGGGGAGCCCTTTTTTGTCCCCCCATTTCCAGCCAAGGAGCTGCAGTGTCCAAGCCGCAGAGTCTGGGCCAGTGTGGGGGCTGCAGGCTCATTTGTGAAGCCCCACGGCCGCTGGACCAAGTGCTCCGGACCCGGCGGGCTTCCCTTCATCTCTTGACTGCGCGCCGCAGGGCAAGTCACTTAACTGTCTCATTAGAATCGCAGTCACGGCCCTGCGCAGCCTCCTTCCCGGTGGCTGGCCACCCCGTTAATTTCTGGAAAGACCCATTAAGCCTCCTGGCCTAAAGGCAGCCGAGGAGCAAAACCTATCGCTATCGTCATCAATGAGCTCCCCAGCGGCCTCCCCGGTCTCCACCTCAGGGGAATCCATCTCCCAGGGGAAGAGCAGGCCTGGCACCCATCCCTAACGAGCTGCCTGCAGCCACGGGGCTGGCACAGACGCTGGAGGAGGCTGGGGGCCAGGAGGAGAGGGCAGCCACGCTTTCACTGCAGCCGACAAATCTGAACAGTTAGATGCCCCCTGCTGCAGCCCTGCTGCCACTGAGACCCGGCCTGGGGGAGTCAGCCTCCCCACCTGAGACTAGCCCACCCAGGCACAGACGCCATCCATTGCCAAACCCGCTGCACGCTTGTTGGAGGTGGCAGGTGTGACCCTAACAGGGTTGCCCACCACCCAGCGCAAGGCATGCCTCACAGACACAGAACGCGGGGTGCTGCCCATGGGAACCCTCCCAGCAGACGAGGGGCAGAGTCCGCTCCCCCGCTAACCTCTGTGTGCCTCAGAATCTGTACAGATGACGCACTCCGCCTGCGGGAACTGGCGTCTCCAAGGCGTGATCCTTCCAGTTGGACCAGGGGGACCCCGACTCCCAGGGAATCTCTGATCTGGCTACACTGAGGGAGAGCTGATATCTAAGCAAGAGGGTCTGGAAGGTGTGGCTACTTTAGGAAGGGAGGCAGCAGCAGGCCAGGATGCCACCACCTGGCTTTTGCTCCCTCCTTTGTTCCTGCAACAGCGACAAAGAGATGGCCTCCCCAAAGAACTCGATCCAAACCTGTGCTTATGCTACCGACCCTAGACACGATCAGCCCACAGGGCACGTCTCCACCCCAACTCACAGTCGGGTTGTCTTGACTGTTGAAGCTGAACCTTCAGCCAGATGTTGCCTCGCTGGCCCCAGGCTCCGGGGGGCTCCACCTCCCACAGGCGCCCCCGCTCGGCTGGGTGGGCCACCAGGAACTTCCTGCAGACTGGGGGGAGGTGCACACCGCGGTCAGGGGGGCCGCTGGCCCTGCCAGCCCTCCCCTGGGTCCCCCGCCCGGCCCACCCCGAGCTCTCTCTGCGCACACAGACCACTCTGTGCCCACTCCTGCCCCATGTTCACCCACCCCATCTAGCCTGCGTGGGTGGCCACAGTGAAACACCACACGTGGGAGGGGGGGCCCCTAAACCATGACAGTTATCTTCTCGCAGCTCTAGGGGCTGGAAGTTCGAGATCAAGGTGTCAGCAGGCCTGCCTTCTCCTGAGGCCTCCCTCCTTGGCTTGGAGATGGCTCTTCTGACTGTGTCTTCTCCCCATCTCCCTTCTGTACCCACTAGACCCTATCCTCTCTTCTTATGGGGGCCTCCTCTTACTAATCCTGTTGGATCAAGGCCCCCCCCTTAGGACCTCGTCCAACCTTAATCACCTCCTTATAGCTCCCGGCATCACTGACACAGTGGACATGAGTGTGAGCAAACACTGGGGGATCGTGGGTCACGGGGGAGCCTGGAGTGATTCAGTCCGTGTGGTCACAAAGAGTCAGACATGACTGAGTGACTAACAACAACAGGCCCCATCTCCACATACAGTCACCCTGGGGGTTAGACTTTGGGGGACCCAAGTCAGGCCCATAACATCACCCACCCAGTCCCCTCTGCAGACACCGTCCCTCCCTCTGAGCTCCGCCGCCCTCCTCTCCCAGGGAACGTTCCAGCTCATCCACAGACGCCCGGACTCCGAACCCTCTCAAGGTGGTAGACGTCTGGGCCACATTCACAGGGTGAGCATTTCCACGCGACAGGGGCCCCCGCCGAGTGGGAACGGCCCCTGTCCTGCCGGTGCTGGGGGCTGCATCAGGCCCCTGGCAAGAGCACAGGTGGAAACCCAGAGGGCGTGATGCTAAGAAGGTGGAAGCCGAGCTAGTCGAGTGCTAGATAGAAAGCCCTGCTCTCCTGTCTTGACAAATATAACTCCTAACAAGAGGAAAAGCCAGTTTTAAATTTAGACTTCTTAGACTCCTGGGTGTTCTGCACTTGAAGGGGGCAATGCCAAGAGAGCCGGCCCCCAGCTGGCAGCCCACCCTCTCCTCCCCGTCTGGCTCCCCACGCACTGTACATACGAACGTGGGCCCCACAGCCACACTCCATGACACCCCACCAGAATGAGGACGTGCAGATGGGTGTTACGGTCTGCCCTTAAGTGCACAGGTCCAAGACGGAGTCCACTCGGGCCCTTGGCAGCCCCAGGCAACAATCCTGGGGTTCCAGTAGCCTGAGCTGGTTGAGGAGTGGCCTGGACCAAGCTGAGAACATCCCCTTGGGCCCACAGATTCCTCACTCCATGGACAGAAGTTCAGCCTCAACAGGGCGCTAAAGCATGGGGCCCTGGGCAGCAGGCCCTCTGGGCCATTCCAAGGCAGGACTGTACCGGATAAAAGGCGGTCAGGGAGGCGTGGAGCAGCTGGCCTGGAGCCTCCAGCTGCTGCGCTGTCCACAGGCTGCCTGCTCACCCCCGAGCCCCGGCACAGCGAGGGTGACGCAGAAGCAACTGAGACCCCCAGTGTGATTCGCAGTCAGAACCTGCAGAGCCTCCTTCCCTGCCAGGTGGAGATACGGGCCATGGGAGGGTCTTTGCAGCACTGGCCAGGGGTGGGCCATGTCCTCTGAAGCCTGCTCCTCCCCAGGAGAACCCAGGGAGGGCTCGGAGCATGCTTCCCTCAGCTCCTGGTCCCCCTGGGGCTCCTGGCTGGAAGGGCAGAGTGATGATTACCATCTTCTCGTGAGAGAGCAAAGGCCCTCTGAGGCCCGACAGCAGCCGTCAGTTGAGCGCAAGTTCCTTGCATTCTGCTGCTCTCTGACGCTGGGCTGGTTTCGTTTTTATTATTTTCTAAATCCAGCTCTTTCTCAGGGGCTGGACAAGGTTTGCCCCTTGTGATCAAGCTTGCGGTGTCAGTGCTGAAGCAACGGGAGGTTTCTCAGAAGGAAGAGAAAACCCACAGGCCTGTCGTGGTGCCGGGGCTCCGAGGGATCTCCCGCCCCAGAAGCATCTGGAACACAGGAGATACGCATCCCACTCCCCAGATGCTCCTCCCCAACGCAGCCGTCACCTTGGTACATGGCGGGTGAGATGGGCCAGCTGATGCCCAAGGCCTCGTCATCTCGGAACGTCTGGCAGAAGTCCCGCAGCATGGCTAGCCCCAGGCCCCGCCGGCGGTGGCTCCTCCGGACAAACACGGTGTCGAAAACCGGCAGGAGGTAGCAGGAACTCGTGCCGTCGCCACACAGGCTGCCTGTTGGAAGACAAGAGACACACGTGGTCCCCCGGCTGGACCAGCCTGCCAGGACCCAGCGGGACCCCACGTGGCCAGGTCCCTGGTCCCCCTGGAAGCAGCACCAGCCTCTCAAACTAAATGCCCGAAGACAAGACAGCAGATCTCTTGAAACCACCTGCTTCTCAGCTGACTGGCAGTCCACACGCTCTCAACTGCTGAGAGAAAGGCCACTCGGCCATCGCCCTGAAATCACAGCGAACCCAGGGGACTAGGCAGGGTGAGGCCATGACGCATGCAGACTCCTCACACCCCTCCCTCACTGTACACAGTTCAGAGACCCCCCAAAGCCAAGGAGGAGCATTTGGGGGGGTCAGACTTCCCCTGAACCCAGGGGAACGGGCTAGGACTTGTTCAGAGTTCACCTTGGCCAATTATGGCAAAGCACATTTACCATAAGCAGACCAAGTCCTGATTTCCACGCAACATCAGTGACACTGCTTTGCAGAGCAAGACGGGCTACAGCCGGCCCCTCTCCCACTTTTCTACACTGATTTAACTTTACTGCATCCAGAACTAATACCAGCACAGCTGCTGTTTCTGCAACAGGAATATGCCCTTGCAGTCAGTCACCTCTGTTATCACCCTACGCTAGAAAATGCCACATGAACCCAACTACATCACCTTCCTCACTTCCCAACTACATGGTTGCTTGTGCTCTGAATGTCCCAGAATCTAAGAAAAGAAATATATCACCTACTCAGCACCTATGGGAAGAGGTGGTATTTGTGCCTGCAAAAATTCAAAGGTAAGTAATTTCCCAAAGAGACAAACAAACAAAGAGACTAATTAGCCAGGCTGAGTTACGGAAGCACACACTATCGTAGTGAACTGTTTGCAAAAATGGCCAGTTATTCCCCTTCCTATATCCACACACCTCTGCATGTGATTCTGAAGCTCCTCCCATCAAGAGATGGGGTTTATCTCCTCGCCCCTTCAATCTGGCTGACCTGTGACTCACTCTGAGCAGCAGAATGAAGCTGGCAAGAGCTCACCAGCTCTGAGCCCAGGCCTGCTGGGGTCCAGGGCCCCTCAATTCTCTCAGATCTCTATCTCTCACATGCAAACAAACCTGGGCTAGCCTGCACCAGGCAAGAAACATGTCCAGGCACCCTCGTGGTGCCAGCCAACATCTAGCTGGTCCTAAGAAACAGGTGATCAGGTGACTGTGGACACATAGGCCAACCCAGCTTAGGGCAGAAAACCACTCAGTCAGCTGAGCCTCGCCAAAATCACCACCAAAAGAATGTGAACCAAATAAATAGCTGATTTTGTGCACAAAGTTAATGAATACATAATCTATGACCAACAAGCAACCCCAAGTCACTTGAGATGGTAATTATAAAGTATTTGTACTTTACCCTCAATGTGCCTGAAATGACAGCACAAACTTGGTTGGAATAACATAACTTACAACTTTTATAGACGAGAACAATGTTCCCCAAATAGCAAAGTCCTCCAAAGCTGAGAATGCTCAAAATTACATAAAGATACAATCCCACTCACAACAGCACTTAAAGAGAAGTAAAGACTCAATATATTTAACAAAGGAAGCATGAGCCTTAAATTACTGAAGACGACAAAACATTGTTGAGAGAAATTAAAGAAGATCTAAATAAATGAAGAGAAACTCCATGTTCAAGGACTGGATGGCTCAATACTGTTAAGCTGGCAATTCTTCCCAAGTAGATCTGTAAATTTAGTTCTATCAAAATCCCGGCAGGCTTTTTTTGTGGAAATTGACAAGCTGATAGTAAAATTCACATGAAATGGGTCTCTAGGATAAACGAAACAGTTTGGAGGGGAAAAAAAGAAGAAAAATGAAGTTGGAAGGTTTTACACTACCCAATTTCAAAGCTTCTTATAAAATCACGGTAATCAGATAGTGTGATCATGGGACAAGGGTAAGCTACAGATTAGTGGAGCAGACAGGTGGGCCCAGAAGTAACACTTATGCTCTGAATTTCTATAAAATACCAAGGTAACTCAATGTGGGAAAAGATAGTGTTTCAACAAACAGTGGTAGTGTGACTAGACATCCATAAGCTAAATATTAATTAACTAAAAATGAACAAATAAAGCTGTAATACAACAAAACCCAGAGTTAGATCCACACAAATAGTCAACTGCTCTCAGACAGAGGAGGAAAGCAAAGTCCATAGTGGAAGAACAGTCCTTTTCAACAAACGATGCTGGAACAGTTGGACATCCACATGCAAAACCATGAATCAACCTGAAACCCTTCACAAAATGTAGCTCAAAACGAATCACAGACACAAATGTACAATGCAGAACTATAGAACTCCTAGAAGATAAATAGGAGAAAATCTAGATGGCCTTGGGTTTGGCAATAAACTTGTGCCTACGGCATCAAAGTCATGATTCATGAAAAACCATTGATAGCTAAATTTCATTAAAATCAAATTTTTCTACTCTGTGAAACACACTGGGAAAAGAACGAGATGCCACAAATTGTGGGGTGGGGTGTGGAATGTCTTCAAAAGATATGTCTGATAAAGAACTATTATACAAAATATACAAAGATCTCATAAAAGTCAAAAATAAAAAGACAAAGAACTTGATTAAAAAGTGAGCCAAAGACCTTAATAGACATCTCACCAAAGAAGTTATGCAGATGGCAAGTAAGCATATGAGAAGATGGTCCACATCATACAGCATCAGGGAAATGCAAGTTTAAAACCATTGAGATGTGACTACATACCTATTAGAACAGGCAAAATCCAGAAAACTGACACCACTAAATGCTGGTGAGGATGTGGAGCTGATGGAACCCTCCTCCACTGTTGGGAATGCAAATGGTACGGTTACTCTGACTGACAGCTTGGTGGCTTCTTATAAAACTAAACCCACTCTTACTATAGGATCCAGCAATTGTGCTCATTTATATGTGCCTGAAGGAGTTAAAAACTTATGTGTACACAAACCTGCACACAAATATTTATAGCGCCTATATTCATAACTACCAAAACTTGGAAGTGGGACTTCCCTGGTGGTCCAGTGGCTAAAACTCTGTGCTCCCCATGCAGGGGGCTTAGGTTTGATCCCTGATCGAGGAAATAGATCCCACATGCTGCAACTAAGACCCAGCACAGTCAAATAAAAAGAATTTAAAAATAAACCTGGAAGCAACCAAGATATGCTTCAATGGGAGAGTGGGTAAATAAAGCATGGTGCATCCAGATGATGGAATATTATTCAGTGCTGAAAAGAAATGCACTATTATGCCATGAAAAGATATGGAGAATCTTACAGCATATTACTAAGTGAAAGAAGCCAATCTGCAAAGGATGTGCTGTGTGTGGCCACTCAGTTGTGTCTGACTCTTTGTGACGCTATGGACTATAGACCGCCAGACTCCTCTGACTATGGGGGTTCTCTAGGCAAGAATATTGGAGTGGGTTGCCATGCCCTCATCCAGGGGATCTTCCCAACCCGGGGATTGAAGCCAGGTCTCCTGCATTGCAGGTGGATTCTTTACCTCTGAGCCACCAGGGAAGCCCCAGAATGCTGAAGTGGGTAGCCTATCCCTGGTCTCCAGGGGCTCTTCCTGACCCAGGCCATATAACTATTAATGCAATTATATGATATTTTGGAAAAGCTGAAACTATGAAGGCAATAAAAGTATTAGTGATTGTCAAGGGGTAGGGGGCATGGGATGAATATGTGGAACATGGGATTTTTAGGGCAGTGAAGCTACTCTGTATGATGCTACAATGATAGAACACGCCTTTCTATAGCTGTCAAAACCTACAGAATGTATGACATGAAGAATGAATCCTAATGTAAACTATGGACTTTAGTTACTAATGATGTATCCTTTATGGACTGACTTGTGTCTCCCCAAACCCCAAGACTTCAGAATATGAGTGTATTTGAAGAAAGGGCCTTTAAGACGTGATGAACTCAAAATGAGGTCTTCAGATGGGCTCTCATCTAAGCCAGCTGGTGTCCTCATAAGAAGAGGAAATTTGGACATGAGAGGGGTTCCAAAGAATGAGCACATACAGAGGAAAACTGGCAGAGGACATGGTGAGTAGATGGCCATCACAAGACAAAACATAGGCCTTGGAGGAAAGTAAACCTGCCTACACTGCGACCTTGTACTTCCAGCTTCCAGAATCCTGTGAAAATTAATTGCTTAAGCCACCCAGCGTGGGTGCTTTGTTACAGCAGGCCTTGTGGACTAATATATGCATCGACATTGGCTTATAACAAATGTACCACACGATGCACTATGTCAGTAAGACAGGATACTCAGTGTGTGTGGAAGGGGATGGGCGCTCACTGTACTTTCTGCTCCATCTTTCCATAAACCTAAAAACTGCTCTAAAAATTAAAGTCTGCTCATTTTTCTAATGTGTAAGGTATTTTTTAAATGAAACTGGATTTTTCACATCATATAAAAATTAATTCAAGATGTGTCTAGACATAATATAAGAGTTAAAGCTATAAAGCTTTTAGAAGGAAATCTTCACAACCTTGGGTTAGGCAAAGAGTTCTTAGTTTTGACATTAATGGACACAACCAACTGGCAAATCTGACTTCATCAAAATTAAATTTTGTGCTTCAAAAGATACCACCAAGAAAATAAAAAGACAAGCCACCAACTGTAAGAAAATGTTTGCAAATCACATTCCTGGTAAATGACATATTCAGATTATATAAAGAACCCTATGATTCAACAAAAAGAAAATAAACAACCAATTAAAAATGGACAGATGATCTGAACAGACATTTCTTTGAAGAAGACATACAAATTATTAATAGTAAATGAAAAAATACTCAATATATTAGTCATTTAAAAATGTAAATTAAAGCCACAATGAAATGCCACTTTGGACCTACTAAACAGCTATAATCAATGTACTTGAGTCAGTTCTCATGAGGTGGGTGAACCTAGAACCTATTATATAGAGTGAAGTAAGTCAGAAAGAGAAAGA